CACGTGGCAGTGGGGCCCGTGAAGAAGGCAAGGACCGTCGCCCCTGGACGTACGTCCCGCCTTTTAATTTTGTTTTTTGATTTTTTTTTTTCTTTTGGGTTGAGGGACAGGGGCAAGGACTACCAATGCCCTTGCCCTTAGAGAATAAGAACTTTAACTTCTTTTGAATATATTATTAATAAAAATATTAACAGAATTAGGTTAATAGCTTGCCTCATGTCACGCTCCTATGAGAATGTTAAAACTTTATAAATGACATTAACAAGTTTTGCATTTTTTTTTTATTCTATAAAGAAACTACCTCTTTTGTGAATATATTGACAACAACAAAATTAATAGAATGAGATTAAGAGTTTAAGTTATTAAACACTTTTTGATATACAAGAAAATTTATTTGTTTTTGTATATATTCACACAAAATAAAAACCAGCCAAATTAGGTTGATGTTTATTACTAAAAAGAAGTTTTATAAGATAGAGTTAAAAACTTTTCTATTTTTATCTTTAAATATACTAACAAATTTATACACATGACAACATCTTATGTTCTATATGACATGTGTTGCGATCACTCACGTGAATTAGCAATTTGAAAAGCAAATTTGTATTTCAAGGTTTACAAAATTGAATATTTTGTTTTCTGAAGCCTGTTACAAAAAAAAAAAAAAAAAAAAAAATTTTGTTTTCTGTTTTTGGTCGGTCTTATATTGCCTATTTCAATATTATCTAAGACAACAATTAAAAAAAAAAAAAAAAAAAAATCTCAGACAAAACTCAAAGTAAGTCCTAGTTAGGATTTGGTGCACTTATTCCCTTTCAGTCTTGGAATAATATATGCATGTCCTATGAGTATATATATACATACATAGGTTGAGCTCAAAAGCAAACCATCTAAAATTATTACCGATCATTGAAAGCAAAGATGATCTCGATGAAGAAGAAGATAACTTGTTCAATCATATGTTTTCTTCTGTTGCTTCTTCTCCCAATAGATGGAACAAGTGCAAAAGCTCCAACAGTGCAAGAAACAAGAAACAAACATGGCACTAGAGAGGTGATAGTGGACAATGGGATTATCAAAGTCAGATTCTCGAGTCCTCAAGGACTTATCACTGGCATACAATACAAAGGAGTTGATAATGTTCTAAGTCCACATCAACGAACTCGAGGGTATTGGGACATAGCATGGCAAGGAGAAAACAACCGCGGTGGCGGCATAGATCATGTCGAAGGAACTAAGTTCAAAATCATAACTCAAAACCAAGACCAAGTTGAGATTTCGTTCTCTAGAACATGGGATAGTGGTTCTCATTCTCGTTCTCGTTCTCATCGTATTCCATTAAACGTAGACAAGAGATATATTATACGTGCAAATTCATCAGGAGTCTACGCATATGCGATCTTCGAGAGACTTCCTGAATGGCCAGGTTTTGATATGGGACAAGTTCGTATAGTATTCAAACTCGACCAAGATAAGTTTCATTACATGGCGGTCGCGGATAATATACAAAGAGAGATGCCAATGGACTCTGACCGAGATATCCATCGTGGTCATGCTAAGGCTCTTGGTTATAAAGAAGCTGTACAACTAACTCATCCTCATAACTCCATGTTCAAAAACCAAGTTGATGATAAGTACCAATACTCATGTGAGATCAAAGACAACAAGGTGCATGGTTGGATCTCAAATAAATCAAACGTTGGCTTTTGGATTATCTCACCTAGTGGCGAGTACCGTTCTGGTGGACCGGTTAAACAAGAGCTCACATCTCACGTCGGTCCAACGGCCACCGCGAGCTTTATAAGTGGACATTATCTTGGTACGGACATGGATATGCATTACAAAAGTGGTGAAGCGTGGAAGAAAGTCTTAGGACCTGTCTTTATTTACTTAAACTCTGGTGATGATTTGTTATGGGAAGATGCTAAAAGACAAGCTAAAGAAGAAGTTAAAGCCTGGCCATACGAGTTTGTAGCATCTTCTGACTTCCCTTCTCGTCGAGAAAGAGGAACCGTCACTGGTCGTCTTCTTGTCAACGACGACGAACTCTTGACGCCGGGGAAATTTGCTTATGTTGGTTTAGCACCACCGGGAGAAGCTGGTTCGTGGCAGACAAATACTAAAGGTTATCAGTTTTGGACAAAGACTAACGAAACAGGTTATTTCAAGATACCTAACGTTAGACCAGGAACTTACAATCTCTATGGATGGGTTCCTGGTTTTATCGGAGACTTCACGTACCAAAACCATGTTAACGTAGCTTCAGGTTCAGAGGTTAAACTCGGTAGAGTCATGTACAAGCCACCTAGGAACGGTCCAACGTTATGGGAGATTGGTGTACCAGACCGAACCGCAAGAGAATACTTTATCCCGGAGCCATACAAGAACACAATAAACCCTTTATATCTAAACCACACAGACAAGTTTAGGCAATACGGATTATGGCAACGATACACAGAGTTATACCCTAACCATGACCTCGTCTACACAATAGGAGCAAGTAACTATAGCCAAGACTGGTTCTACGCACAAGTCACAAGAAACAATGGTGACTCGACGTACAACCCAACGACATGGCAGATCGTGTTTCATCTTCCTTACGTGAACATGCGAGGTAGCTACACGTTGCAGCTAGCTTTAGCCTCGGCTGCACGGGCTCATCTACAAGTACGGGTCAATAACGAATACAGTACTAGGCCATTATTCTCAACGGGTTATATTGGAAGAGATAATGCTATAGCAAGACATGGGATCCATGGAATCTATAGGCTTTATTGTATCAATGTTCCGGGAAGGTCGCTACGGACAGGGACCAATACGATTTATCTCCGACAAGCTAAAGGATCAGGACCATTTGAAGGAGTTATGTATGATTACATTCGTCTCGAAGAGCCTTCTAGAGTTTAGATTCATTTATTTAGTTATGGTTTTGGTTTTCTAACATTACTTTTTTTTTTCTTTGATTTAAGTTATTATTACTTTGGTTTTCTAATTTCTATATGATTCTGTTTTCAATTAGCCCTATCCATCTTTTATCAAATTTTATGGAAATAAGTAAACCTAGGTTTGGTGTTACCAAAATAACTGAAAATTTGGGTGAATCGGGTTCAATTTAGACCAATATTATTGGGGGTATCTTAGGGAGCTAAGATACCCCAATAATGTTGCCCTTATGGCGGTTGAACCGATCGGCAGGAAAAAATTGAAAAACTGAAATATTTCGGTTGTTTCGGTTTATCAATTTTTTTTATTTTTTATTTTTAAGTACATAACCAAAATCTACCCCTAAAATAACCGAACTATCAAAAAACCGAATCCAAAATATTTTAAATAAAACCGAGAAAACAAAAAAACCCAAAATTATCCCTAAAAACCCAAAAACATTTAGGAATTTCTTGTCTTTTAGGCAGTTCATGCAACTGAAACCAAAATAACCGAGTCGAAATATCCAAAATAACCGAAGTCCCAGAACTTAGTAAACCGAATCTGAACCGGACCGGATTTGGTATAATTCGGTTTGGGAGGTTAGGGTTAAATTCGTCATTTCACCTCTTCGTTTTAGCTTCAATTTGTATGCAAGAGCACTCGGTTTCTTCTCCTTCCTCCTCCTCTTGAAAAATTCGAACTTTGATTTCGCTCACAGAAGCTTCGTCTCGAATTCGATCTTTCTACGGTTTGGTTTATGAGGTAAAGCTTCTTTTGATAGATTAGATTCTGATGATAATGACGAATCTGCCATTTTTGTTTCTCGTGAAGAGTTTGAAATTAGGTCGTCTTCGTGACACAGATCCTCTTATCTTTTCTTCGATTTTGAGTTCTTCTGAATTTGTTTTCGTATCTGTCAAGCTACTCACTGTTGTTAATTGAATTAGAGTTGTCTCGAACGAATCTATGAATTAGGGATGCAACGAGACTTGTTTGTTTTGGCTGCTAGGGTTTTTCTTATGTATTATATATGTATTCAAGACTCTTTGGTAATCACTGTATCACTTCTCAAGATTCTTGTTTTTTGTTTACCTGATGATCTTGTTTTTTGTTTACCTGATGATCTTGTTTTTGTTGCTCTGTTTTTTCCTTGCAGCTCAAAGGAGAAACCCACTCTCGGGTATGTGAAATTTTAAAGCTTTTTTACAGTATTGTTATTTTGTAGTTTGAAACTTTGGTCTATGTTAATTCTTTGTGATTCGTCCATGGAAGTTGAAAACTTGATGTTCTGATATTTATGTTATTGTCGTTTCAATCAAACTTAGTTCTGATGTTTTCAAGTTGTTGATAATTTGAAGTAGATGAAATGTAATGTAATAAGTCTTGCTCTTGACCTTGAGAGTTGAAACCTTTTAATAAGTTTGGAGTGACTGTATTTAAGTTGTGTATATGACTTTTGGAGCTGCTTGTATTTTATATATTGTTAATTTTTATGTGTAGAGGTACGCGGATTAAGACCCGCAAAAGGAATATTGCTGCTCCTCTCGACCCTGCGGCTTTTTCTGATGCTGTAGTGCAGATTTACCTGGATAATGCTGGTGATCTGGTACTTTTTTTTGTGTGTGTTTTATGTATCTATTTATCTGTTTTTTTTTGCTTGTAAAATGTTGTGCACCTTACCTTGTGACTTTGTTTTTGTTTGTCTTAGGAACTTGTTGCGAAAAGTTTAGAGTCATCTGATCTTAATTTCTCAAGATACGGTGACATTTTCTTTGAGGTAATTCTACATATGTCGATTCTGCCTCTGCTGTCGTATATTGCCTATGTATCTCATGTCTTCCTAAGAGATAATTTCTTATTTCCACCTAAAATGTCATCTGGTTGGGTCATCACTTCCCTACACAATATGTGAAGTATGGTTTATCTAGATTCACTGAAGTTGGTGTAGTAAGATATGTCTTCCTGGCTGTTTATGTTCTTTAATATCATCGGATACCAGCCTCTTTTTTTCTGGTATCAAGTGAATTTTTGTTTTGCTTGTCTTTCCGAGATTATTAATTGATGGATCTCTCTTACAGGTTGTTTTCATTGGAGGACGTACACAAACTGGTTCAGTAAAATCTGATGAAGGGGAACGCCATCCTTACTCCATAATCGACTGTGAACCAACGCGTGATGCGATTTTACCATCAGTTGTATACATTCAGAAAATTTTGCGGAGGAAAGCCTTCCTTATAAAGAACCTTGAAAATGTTACGAGGAGATTCTTGCAGTCACTGGAGCTTTTTGAGGAAAATGAGAGGAAGAAGCTTGCAATATTCACAGCCCTCGCATTTTCCCAGAAGCTGTCAGGATTACCTGCAGAGACTGTCTTCCAGCCATTGCTTAAGGATAATCTTGTTGCCAAAGGGATAGTGCTCACTTTTGTAACAGACTTCTTCAATGAGTATTTGGTTGAGAACAGTCTTGATGACTTGATTTCTATTCTGAGGCGTGGCAAGATGGAAGACAAACTCTTGGAGTTCCTGCCACCCACAAAGCGGACTACTGAAAGTTTTGCTGAGCATTTCACGTGAGTTTTAATTGCTTGAAGTTTGCTGCATTCAATATTATTAAGTTGCTCTTTTGTAGTTTTCTTTCTCTTCTAATTCCGTGCGTTTCTCTAAATTTTAGTTGTATAATATTGATATGAATGTCATTGGTGAGATCCATTTAGTGAAAATGCTTCTATATAGGTTAACTTTTTGTCAATAATTTGTTGAGCTTAACAATTCCCAGGCCCTCTTCCTTCTGAATGCTTTTATAATTTATCTTTTGTTGTCTCTGCTTTCTTAATTACTCTGTAAAATTGATATTCTTTTTCTTCTGAATTCAAGCAAGGCAGGATTGACAGCTCTGGTAGAGTACAATGAAAGGAAAATATTTGAGGTGAAGCTCAAGGAAATCAAAGCAGTGCTTACAAGCCAAGTGACAGAGGAAATAAACGTAAGTGAAGTGATTGAAACGGTGAAGCAACAGGTGAAAGATGCAAAACTGCCAGAGATTGAGGTTGTGCATGTGATCTGGGATGGGATAATGAATGCTATTCAATGGTCTGGGAAAAACCAGCAGCAAAATTCAAATGCTGTATTACGCCAAGTGAGTTTATTTTTGTTTGTTTTATGAGTTATTGTAACCTTGAAGCAAGAATGAGCTGTTTGATCTTAAAGCTAAGCTAAGCTAGTCACTATTTTTGTGGTATAGGTGAAAACATGGGCGCCGCTTCTGAACACGTTGTGCAGCAGCGGAAACATGGAGATGGAACTGATGTACAAAGTACAGATGCAGTGCTATGAGGATGCAAAGCTGATGAAAGTGTTTCCTGAGGTAGTGAGGTCTCTGTATGAACTTGATGTGCTCGCTGAAGACACCATTCTCCACTGGTATCGCAAAGGGACCAACCCGAAGGGCAGGTACCACTTTTCATTGTATGCATTAAAAGAAGGTTGATGATTCTTACTAAATAGTATATGTAACAATGGTGTGTGTTGGGTTTACATTGCAGGCAAACTTTTGTGAAGGGCTTGGAGCCATTTGTGAATTGGCTGGAAGAGGCTGAAGAAGAGGAGTGAGTGAGCCGCTCTGCTTTTGTTTTTCTTCACTTTATTATAATAATAAAACAAACACAATCTTTGCTTCTCTTAACGCAAAACTCAGATGCTTTTAAGGTTTTGATTCCTACATTTGTTTGTGTGATTTTGTTTTTGAATGGATAATTATGACTTCCTTTGCTTATGTCTTTTTAACCTCTTGTGTGTAAGTAAATAATACTTGCTTAAAAAAAAGTAAACATAAAAAGAGAAAAAAAAAGGGAAAAAAGCCTAAAAATACCCCATTTAATTTTTATTTGGAAGATTAATACCTGGTCTTTTTTGCTTGGAATTTTAATACTTCGTCTAAATTTGAGTGTCATTTAAATGCCTGAAATATATATGTGTTGGCTCTTTAGTACTCCGTGGTTAACCTCCGTTTAAGCTCTTAACGGAATGACTAACTCGGGTTAGAAATTAAACCCACGTGTTTAATTAAGCCTAACTAAAGACACTGTTGTCCTTAGGCATTTCCCCCAAATCGAAAAACCCTAAATCGCATTTCCCCCAAATCGAACCCTATTTCGATATTCTTCTTCTTCTTCTCTTCATCTTCTCAATTGATATCTGGGCACTGTAAGGAATCGATGATTTCAGTTGTTTGATTACTTGCGGATTCGTTGTTTCGTTGTTAGATTGCAAGTGAAGAGATGAGGTACGCAATCGTCGATTCAGTTTATCAAATTTTAGGGTTTTTGAGTTTTCTGGGTTTAGGGTATTTTGATCTCCTCTCTTGCCTCTAGTAAGCTGACCTTCTGCCAACCATTTGGCTTTTCTTCATCTGCCCAATTAATAAATCCATGAACAACGCACCTGAAAAATCTTCTACCTGGATTCTCATTTGTCCATGACTTTGCAACCGTTGTTACTCTACCGCAATTGCAATGAGGACCCCAGCTCCGACTCGAATTCGCATCAGAACAAGAACTATGGCTCATCATCTACCCAGATCGTGAAGAATGAGCTTTAGGTTTCTTCTTCTTTTCTAATAAATCGATTTGGGAGAGACAAAGGACAAAAGTGTCTTTAGTTAGGCTTAATTAAACACGTGGGTTTAATTTCTAACCCGAGTTAGTCATTCCGTTAAGAGCTTAAACGGAAGTTAACCACGGAGTACTAAAGAGCCAACACATATATATTTCAGGCATATGACACTCAAATTTAGACGAAGTATTAAAATTCCAAGCAAAAAATACCAGATATTAATCTTCCAAATAAAAATTAGATGCGGTATTTTTAGGCTTTTTTTCCGAAAAAAAAACCTTATCCAAAAGTTGGGAGATTTTGTTATTTAAAAGGGAACCACAAAAAAAGGAGGAAGGAAGGCATTAAGCCGTTGGCCACACAATCAGA